ACCTTTTCTCTGGTCTCGCCCATTCTTGTCATCGGTCACTAGAGCAGCAACAGAATCTTCGCTCACGTGACTTTTTGATGTTCTAGATGGGCTTGCAGTGGGTATGATGAAGGGCTGGGGGGAGGAGGAGAAAGCTTAGCCGAGGGCACGTCCGCACTTAAAATGCGGCACCACGGTAGCGCTTTAATGCAGACACTCTAAGCCAGTGGCTCTCAAACGTTTCTATTGACCCCTTTCATACTTCAAGCCTCCGAGTGCAAACCCCCCTTATAAATGAAAAACTCTTTTTATCTTTAACACGGGTTCTCAATGTTCATTGCACCATGACCCGCTTCTGACAACAAAAATTACTACACGGCTCCAAGAGGGGGATTGAAGAAGTCTGAGCCCGCCCAGGCTCTGTCTCCCAAAGCCTGAGCCCCCATCACTCCAGGCAGGGAGCCCAAGGGGCGGGAGAGGGGGCTGTAACCTGAGCCCCACCACCCAGGGCTGAAGCCCTTGGGCTTTGGCCCTGAGCCCCAGCAAGTCTAATGCCAGCCCTGGCAACCCCGTTAAAATGGAGTCATGACCCAGTTTGGGGTCCTGACCCACAGCATGAGAACCGCTGCCTAAGCCAATGGATATAAACTGGCCGTGGGGAAGTTTAGGCTTGAAATTAGACGAAGGTTTCTAACCGTCAGAGGGGTGAAATTTTGGAACAGCCTTCCGAGGGAAACGGTGGGGGCGAAAGACCTCTCTGGCTTCAAGATTAGGCTAGATAAGTTTATGGAGGGAATGTTTTGATGGGATAACGTGATTTTAGTCAATTAGGCAATAACGTGCCATCGCTGGTAAAATGTAGGTCCGGCTGGAGAATCTTGCCTGTATGCTCGGGGTTCTACTGATCGCCATATTTGGGGTCGGGAAGGAATTTTCCTCCAGGGTAGATTGGCAGAGGCCCTGGAGGTTTTTCGCCTTCCTCCGCAGCATAGGGCAGGGGTCGCAAGCTGGAGGATTCTCTGCGACTTGAAGTCTTTAAATCACGATCTGGAGACTTCAACAGCTGAGTTAAGGGAAAGTGGGTGGGTCAGCTTTTGTGGCCTGCATCATGCGGGAGGTCAGACTAGATGACCATAATGGTCCCTTCTGACCTTAAAGTCTATGAGTCTATGTTGTTCTTTGTTCGAGGCATTACTCTTGCCTCCCTTACAGGATGCTGGAGCCCCAATGAGGGGTTGCTGTTGCATCTCTCGATGGCTGTTGTTACGTGATGGGAGAATGAGAAAGTTGCAGGAGGACCAGATACATAAGAAAAAATTTCTATTTTTGCCTTGAATGCAGCATTTGCCAAACTTCTAAAAGTTGAGCTCCGCTTCACAAAAATGAAACCGATTACCACCCTGCCCAGAAACTTTATGTTGTTAAAGGCCATCCATCTTAATACATCCTCGTTGCATCCGCCGTGGCTTGTCCTTTGGGCCCTTCCAGGGAGGGGGATGTGCCCCACACCTTGGTGTAGATCTTCCTACCATGGCCCTGCAGCTCCTTTCTTATATGCATTGATGAGCCGTGAAATAATTAACAACATTGACATTTAAAGTATCATTGCTGGCATCTGAGTTTGATCCCTGAGTTCACACCTCAGAGCTATTTTTCAGGCTGTCTGCAAACTCAGGCAGACTTGCTAGCTCAGTTACACTCACTCCACAGTTTGATGGGTTTGTTGTTTTTATTTTCTGCAACCATAACAGCTGGAGACTAATTTTTAAAAGGTAAAATAAAAGCTGGGACTCTGGATGCTAATTGAGAGGTTTGTCTGTCCCACTTCAACCCCTCCAACTAGTCAGGGAGGGACACACCCTGCATTTTGGAAAATGCTGATGGTTCAATAACCCCAAAACCCTATTAATTCAGCTATAAGACTAAGATTCTACTTGTGCAAATGTTTGGACAGTTGAGCAACTGAAGTGTATTTCCCTTTGCTGACATTTTCAAATGTGGGTACTAAAAGTTTGGCACCTCAATCCATCTTGAGGATCCATTTAAAGTGCTTGCTATGGAAGTGTTCAGCACCCCCAACTTCTATTGTTTTCAGTGGAAGTGTTGGATGCTGAAGACCTCAGAAAATCAGGCCACTGGTTTAGTTGGCCTTTATGGATCTAGGTGCTGGCTCTAGGCATCTGAGTTTGCATTACTGTATGTGGTGCTCACTTTAAGATAACACACCAAAGAAAGTTGCTCAAACTAACTTGCTGCATCCAAAAACAAAACAAAACAAAACAAAAAAACCCCAACCCATCCTCCTGCCTCCTGGATTTTTCCAGTGTCACAAATAAGCCGGCTAAACATTAATCAAGTCCATCATCTGCCTGTAACCAGCAAATAACTGGCCTCTAGGGATTCAGCAACAGTATCCCCCACTGCTGTCCTGCTTCCTTCCCTTTCCAACCACTGTGGTCTGTTATTTTTGTGTGTACATTCATTTGCCTTGAGATCTGAGCAACTTGATGCTGAGAGTTTGGATCTGATTTTCAGAGGTGCAGCTGAGCAGCTGCCACTCCAGTTGAAATCAGTGGGACTGATGGGCAGTCAGTATCTCTGAACATCAAGTCTTGTGTCGTCGTCTTTAGCCGTCAAAGGAACATGCCAAACTACAGCTGTAGAAATAACACTGTCCTTATGTGGCTGGGTCACCACTGCTGCAGGTCCCCAACTTTGACACTCCTGAGTTCTGAGCAACTGAATTCCTAACATTAAAGTTGCATCTAAATCATGTTTACATTTCATCTCCTTGGCGTGAAATAAGAAAGATAAATTTAAAAAATGGCAGGAAATCTGTATATATTTATTGAGAGCTGGTTGAAAAACTGATGATTTTTCACAAAAACTTCGTATCAATGTTGAATTTTCAAAAGATTTCAACGAGTTTTAATTTATTTATTGTATTTTTCCATGTTTATATATAAACAACTAAAAGCCCCCTGCCCTGTCCTCTAGGTGCTTGTTACAACATTTGACATCGTGCAGTGCATACAAAAAGAACAATGTATCCTCTCCATGCAGCAGAAACAACCAGCCGAAATATTAATTTAGAAATACCCTGCCCTACACAAATTCACTAACCCCCATCACCACCCATCTCATCAAAAACCGCCTGGCTTGATTTTCAGAGGGGGCTGAGCACCCCAAAATCCCGTTGACTTCAACACGCATTGCAGGAATCCAGCATGCTGAAAATCAGGATATAGTGGGTAGTATTAATTGCAGGAATGGGCCCTAATACTGCAACTGAGAAAGGAAGCTGACTTCTTGGAACTGACAGGGTAACCTAACTCACTTCTTTATCACAGGAAAGCTGATCAAAAAGTGGCACATTAAGGCTGAAAAGAATCTATAGGAAGCAAAATACTTTACAAAACCAAGGTTTGAAAATAGCAGGGCTAAGTGGCACGGTGGTAAAAACATTTGAGCCTTGTCTAAGTTACAGCTTCCTCTGTTGCTACCACTGCTGGGAATTGTGAGTCCTAATTTGTTCTAGTGTAAACAAGTCTCTCCAGTCTGGTACAGCATGAAATCTTTGCAAAACTGGAGCCCCACTCCTTTGGGGCTAGATTCCAATAGCCTCATTCTATGCATGGCTCTACTGGAATCAGGGCCGGCTCCAGGCACCAGCTAAGGAAGCAGGTGCTTGGGGCGGCCAATAGAAAGGGGCGGCACTCTGTCCGGTATCAGGGTGGCACGTCCGGGTCTTCGGCGGGAATTCGGCGGCGGGTCCCTCGGTCCCTCTCTTCCTCTTTGAGTTGCCGCCGAAGAGGAAGAGATGGAGTGAAGAACCTCCGCTGAACTGCCGCCAAAGAGTGGAGCGGCGCAATTGAGCTGCCGCCGAAGAGTCGCTTGGGGTGGCAGAAACCCTGGAGCTGGCCCTGACTGGAATCAAAGGGACTACTTGCAGAATGAGGTACTATTCAACACAAAAGGGTGCAAAATCCAGCCCTTTGTGCTTAAGAGCATGACACCGATCAGACTTCTTGTCCTGTAAAGTCTGGTGGACTTTGTAAACCTGCCATAGGTCTGATGGACCTTATTAAATCCTGCAGCCTGTCGGAAGTCTGCCACACCCTTAACGCTCATTATAAAGTGCATCTGACTTTTATCAATGCAGGGGCTGAATGTGTTTCTTACAATGAAATGAATAACTCCAAAAATACGCCCTTCCAACTTCTCAGAAAAAATCATAAGCATAAAAGCGCATCAAGGGCTATTGAATTAAAAAAGCATACGGTTCTCTGTCATGTCATTTTTGGGTGACCAGAAATTATTAGTATACTTTCCAAAAAGAGAACTGTACCTTTTTAAAAATCCTATATATTTGACCTGCGGCTTGTCCTAGACTCCTGACATTTTGAACATGCACTAAATTGTCTTCCAGGCACAAGACCACATGGGCAAAATTTAAGTGCAGAGGGGCCTTTTATTGTTGGGGGTTTTTTTTTTTTTAAGAAAAAGGGGAGCAGGGTGAGCACATTGTGATTTCTGATGGAAAGCTTGCAAGACTAGCATCTCTCCACCCCAATCTTGAATGTTGCTAGCTGGGGTTTGCATCAGCACAAGCACAATTTCCATGCATTGTTTCAGTCTGGAAACGAAACAATTTTCATTAATGGAAACCTGGTTCTCAAGCAGAACAATTAGACCCACTTCAGATTGGAAAAAAGATAAAAGCCCATTAATTTGGATGGAGAACTCTTCTTCTGAGGCAGCCAATTGCGTAATCAGGCTGCCTCCCACCTGACTTGATGAGTAATTAGGAGATAGTCCTCGTTTTGTATGTGCATGTGTGTCAACCTTAACACACTGGTGTCATTGTCCCATTGGGACTTCCAGGGGGGAGGAACAAGTAGATGGCCAAAGATCAGGGAGAGCAGATTTGTTAGTGTGGCTAATTAATTGGCTTGGGTTGAGGTATGTTTAGTGTTTGTTTGTTTTTTTTAAGCCAGCTGAGAAGTTTTTGACAGTACACCATGACTGATTTGGGATGTAAGAAGCCCAGTGACTGCACCGTCTCCAGGCTGCTCAACGTTGTGGAGAGCGAACTCCAAGCTGGCAGAGACAAAGGGGACCCGACAGAGAAACAACTCCAGGTTGTCTTGGAGGAGGCTGCGCTATGGCAGAGGTTCAGGGAAGTCACTAACGAGATGATCGTGACCAAGAACGGCAGGTGAGTGCTGTACTGTCCCCAGTGTAATTAGCGTATCCTACGGTATATGGGGAATATTAGCAACTGCTGTTTACATAGGCTAAAGAAAATTGTAGCCATGGTATAATGTTGTTAGTGCTGTGTGTGCATCGACATATCCTGTGCAGGGAGGGAAAGGCAGTCTCAGAGGCAGCCTACAAACTAAGGAGGAGGTTCACGTTCCTTTCTGAATACTGACAAACCATTCCTGTGCCCTTTTATCCCTGATCGTAAGAGACACTGCAAGAAGATATTTATTGCCTTGGGACTGAACAAAATAGTAAAGAACGTTTCCCAGGGGAAGGATAGTTCCACCTCCCAACCCCACTGCAAGGGCTTTGCAAATAATTCCCTCTGAACACTGCTTATTATAACGATACTCAGTGCTTAGATAGTAGCTTTTTGTCTGTAGGGCTGAATGTGCTTTACAAAGGCACAGCAGTGTCATTATCCCCATTTTACAGCTGAAGAAAGTGAGTCACCTACCAGAGATCACACAAGTCAATAGTAGATCTCAGCCTAGAACCCAAGTTTCCTGTCTCTGTTACCTTGATGCGCAGTCCTGTATAAACAATTTGTGCTAGAAATGGGTGCAAGACAAGCCCATTGGCAGCATATAGGTGTGGTACAGATTTAGCAGTGCTGCAGCTCCATCATCTTTGGCAGAGAATTTGGAAACTTGGCTGGAACTTTGGTAAATGATTTATTCACAAGATCTAAGGAAGTCAAAATGTCCTCTGCGTTGCTCATGATTCTTCTTAGCTGCTGGGCACAATCAGTGTGTGTGGGCACTCTACAAAATGCAAAGGAGGAGACAGTGCTAAAGCTGGAGCCTTAGGGAGTGGAAAAGTCTAGCACTCTGCTGAGCTGGGAGTGAGAACTGTCCACCCAAGGTGCTCCCACTCTAAACTGGGCAGACCGTGCCATTAGATCTGTAACAGACGGGGTGATTAGAGGAAGGTCCAGTCACAAAGCAGGGCAGAGATTTCATTTTTTAAGAGCACACAGTTCTTCCTTTGCTGGATTGTTGTTGGGAGATTTCATAGAAGACGTGCATATTAAGGAAGGATTGGAACAAAGAGGGAGAAAGAGCCAAGCGGAAGGGCTGACGTGTGTCAATCTTGCAGAAAGAGATTAAGACCAGCAATTTTCTGATGCAGAACAGGGGACATCGGCTGAACTGTGGTACTAGCTGCTAGCACCTGTCATGGATCATAGCAGTTAGAGATCAAAACAATCTATTCACTCAGGAAGCCTACTCCCCTGCAAAAACAGCTGACATTCCTGAGTTATCAGATATTGAACTGATACCACACTAGTATTGTATTCATTCCCAAGAGTGACCTGTATGGAGAAACAGACATCTGTTTCTTCTAAGGCCTCGTCTACATTCAGAAGTTGTGCCTGTTTAAATTCAATTGGTTTTTAAATGAATGTAGTTAAAGCAGAGCCAACTCCTGTGTGGGCATTTGTTTTGCTGTAAGCATGGCTTATTTCAGTTTGGCTTAAGCTGTTTCCTAATCAACTTAAGCCAAACCCAGACATGCCTGTTTAAACTCAGATAAAAGGGCTTTGCATTGATTTAACTAAATTGGTTACAAATCACACCCTCAGTTAAACCAATGCAACTTCCTTTTGTAGACCAACCTGTAAACAATCAGTGTAGACTATACTGCTTATCCCTACACAGAATAGTATTTTACCAGAGGGAAAGCATACAAGTGAGTATGTGTGGATAATGGTTTTTGCCATGGGGAAGAGGGAGTTCGATGGGTCTGTTGTTATTAGGTGTTCATGGTTACTTTTGGGTGGGCTATGGATAGCTTTCCACTGATCAAACTCTCAATATTTTTGCTTTGTTCTAAACTCTGCCTTCATTATCAACCTGATTCTGCCCCTCTTTCCCCCACCCCCCGAAGTCAATGAGAGTTGTCACTAACATCGGTGGAAGCAGGACTGGGTCCTTTCTAGAATAGAAAATGTAAGTTGCCTTATAAATAAGTCAAAGTACAATAGTCTCTGGTTTTATGGCCCTAAGCACAGTTATGTTATTAGAGGGTTTGGGGCTGTTACTATAAAATCATGTAGGCTTTTGTAAAAAGGCCTCTTTGAATTTCTAAAAGTATATTTTAATTAAAACCAGAGGTCAAGCTGGGGAAATATAGACAATGCCCTGCAGAGTCCTAGGGGACAGACAAAGTGGGACCTGGTGGAGCTCTTTTTTTCTATGACTCATGGCCTTTTGCAGGTCAGGGACTCATAAATAACAAGAAAAGTCTTGTGTTGGGCTTTTTGGGTGGGAGTGTCAAAAGTTCATGACACTGGCCTAGCCCTGCTCCCATTGAAGTTTATGTTAAAACCCCCATTGACTTCAAAGGGAGGAACGCAGAGCAATTTTGAAAATCCCATCCTAAGAGCTTTATGAACGACCAGGAATTAATCCTGACAACACACTATCAAACCAGTAAGTGTTGTTATCTGGGGAAACTGAGGCCCAGTGTGGTGAAGCGACTTGGCCAAAGTCATCTACCAAATCAAAGGCAGCGCTACGAATAGAACCAGAAAAATGTAAGGCTGCAAACAGGGCCGGCTCTGGCTTTTTTGCCGCCCCAAGCAAAAAAAAAAAAAAAAAAAATCGTGGCAGCCAGAATGGCAAAGCAAAAAAAACAACAAAAACCTGCGGCGCGGCTGGAGCCAGGGTGCAGGGGGATTCCCTGCACTGCATATGTGCCCCGGCTATTGGGGGGGAGGGGGAGGGATCGGGGGGATAGAGAGAGAAGGGGGGCGGCCAGGGCTTCAGTGGGGCGCTCGCCATGCGGCCCCGACCGCTGTGCCCCCTGCCAGGAGGGCTCCGCACTGCTGCATAGCCTTAAAGTTTAGGACTTAGCAGCACAAGTATAACATGTACAATTTAACAATTTCTAATAGATTAGTCTCCAGTGGGCACTGATGTTTCCCCAAATGTGCTTGAATCATAGTGACTCCAAGTGCCCACAGTGAATATCAAGTCAGAATTAGAGACTTTGATACTATAGCTGATATATGTATCCGATACAATGTGATGCTCCGTTATAATAATGTAACTGGCATTGCAGGATATAGAGAATCACAGGAGTTAGAGGTGGATACATGTGATGTTTTGGGGATCACACAGCCCAGGAAGAAGTTCTGTCACTGCCTGCCCTGTACCCTGGGGTGTCTTTATGCTGTGATGCGATGGCTCAGATCCCTGACACCAGTCGCCTGTCCACAAGCACAAAGTCTCACCCTGACTTCCACCAGCCTCGTTCCTCCCTGCAGCGTGACATGAACAGTCCTTCCAGTCCTGAGACTCCCCAAATCCGTCCTTCATGAATTTCAGGCACTTGGGCTTTCCCCTCTGGCTCCTCCCCGCGGAAGGCATGAAACCAGCCCTCAGACAGCAATTTACTTTGGCACGCACACTTCACGTGGTTTGCACATCGTAGACTTGTTTGGGGTAAAACTAAACAAAAGGTTTATTTAATAGAAAAGCCACAGATCCAAAGATGAAGGAGGAAGGGAAACAAACATCCATGTTACACAGAAAATAAACAGAAAGATGCAATCTCAGGCTTTCCATTTCCATAGTAGATAAAACCCCTTGTCTAATACAAGATTCCTTGTGCCTCGGAACAGTTTCCCAGTGTACACCCTAGCCATAAGGAGCATCCGGTGTTTCATGGACAGCACCTGCCAACTAATTGTCCCTGTTTCTGGATGGAAAATTCAGTTTCAAGCCTCCTTTTTAAAAGGCTTCTGTCAAGGCTGTATCCCCACTTTGAACTTTAGGGTACAAGAGTGGGGGCCTGCATGAGGACTCCTAAGCTTATCTACCAGCTTAGCTCTGGTCCGCTGCCACCATCTCAAGAACTCCCTCCCTGGGAAGCCTTGAGAAACCTTTCACCAATTCCCTGGTGAACACAGATCCAAACCCCCTTGGATCTTAAAACAAGGAGAAATCAATCTGGTTCTTAAAAAAGAAGGCTTTTAATTAAAGAAAAAGGTAAAAATCATCTCTGTAAAATCAATATGGAAAATAGCTTTACAGGGTAATCAAACTTAAAGAGCTCAGAGGACCCCCCTCCTCCCCCGTCTTAGGTTCAAAGTACAGCAAACAAAGATAACCACTCTGGTAAAAGGTACATTACAAGTTGAGAAAACAAAGTAAATCTAAGACGCCTTGCCTGGCTTTTTACTTACAAGTTTGAAATAGGAGAGACTTGTTTAGAAAGATGGGGAGAACCTGGATTGATGTCTGGTCCCTCTCAGTCCCCAGAGCGAACCACACCTCTAAACAAAGAGCACACACAAAAGCCTTTCCCCCCCCCCAAGATTTGAAAGTATCTTGTCCCCTTATTGGTCCTTTGGGTCAGGTGTCAGCCAGGTTACCCGAGCTTCTTAACCCTTTACAGGTAAAAGGATTTGGAGTCTCTGGCCAGGAGGGATTCCATAGCACTGCACACAGGAGAGCTGCCACCCTTCCCTTTATAGTTATGACAGCTTCCCATCCCCCCACTCTTTCTTTCAGACTAGGTAATTCATGGTTATTCAGACTGGGGAAATCTCCAGTCATAGATGGTGGAACTAGAAGTGCTGGGTGTGCGGCAGCACCTGTGGCTTGAAGTGGTTCCCGTCATACACAGGGTTCAATGGCTCTCAGTACCCCCACTATACAAATTGTTCTCGCTCCCCTGTCTCCAGTTGTCTCAAAGTCTTTCCATTAGCTTTAATGGTTCACCATTGTCCTTTTCTGGGGTGGACAATGGCTGGATTCTTGTACACAACTGGCTCGGGAGGTAGCCCCTCCCTGCCTGATTACTTCTAGGCCCTATTGTGAGGTGATGCTAAAGTTGCATCACAGTTACAATTTGCAACTTTCTATCTATACACATACATACATTCCTAACCTTGGTGTGTACACATCTCCTAATGACCATCAAGTTCAGAACATTGCAAGCTTTCATAAAAGACCTTTCTCAATATGGTACAGAGTAGCCGCCATGTTAGTCTGTATCTGCAAAAGGAACAGGAGTACTTGTGGCACCTTAGAGACTAACAAATTTATTTGAGCATATGTACTCGATATGTTTTTATAGTACAATATCATTGTCTACAATCAGTTAAATCAACCATTCATTTCTGGGGTTTAATCCATCTATTCTCTCCTTGAGGTGCCTGCACTCTGATTGCCACAAGAAGTGCTGGACATACCAGTTATTAAACCGATACGCCACTTAATCCTAGTTCACGATAGTATGAAACGCAGCTGAGCTGTGATGCTGATGCAGTGAGATTCACCACTGTTTTTATTCTGTTGCTGTTTGTTAGAGCTGTTTCCGTATCCTAACCATAACTTAACTCCTGATTTCAAAACTTTTATCTAAGGTATAGCCCCCACATCACTGTAGTATCTGAGTGTCTCAGAATCGCTAAAGCATTTATCTTCACATCACCCCTGTGAGGTAGGGAAGTGTGATCATCCTCATTTTATAGCTGGGAAACTGAGGCACAGAGAGACTAAGGGCTGGTCTATGTTGAAAACTTACATTGGCATAGCTGCATCTCTCAGGGATGTGAAAAATCCCCATGCCTGAGAGGTGCAGCTATGCTGACCTAACCACTGGTGCAGACAGTGTTAGGTCGACAGAAGAATTCTTCCATCGACCTAGCTACTGCTTACTAGGGAGGTGAATTTACTACAGCAATGGGAGAACCCCTCCCGCTAACCCCATAGATCGCCCTGTCGTACAGCTTTTCCTAAACATAACAAAGAAGC